AGTTTTTTCTACTGTTGGATTTCATATAAATGGAATTATGTAGTATGTACTCTTTCATGTTTGACTTCATGTTTTTGAAATCCTTATTTTTGTATTTTAAATTCCTTTTTATCATTGAGTACTATTCCATTAAATGAATTAACCATGCTCATCTCTTCAGGGGTTGTCTATTATGAATAAAACTGCTATGAAGGGATCCACTTATGTGTTGTTTTTTTTTTTTCAATAAATATACTGTCGGCCTTCCATATCTCTGGGTTTTGCATCTGTGGATTCAACCAACCATGGACCAGAAACAGTACAATTGACCCTTGACATATGCAGGGATTAGGGACATGGATGCCCACGCAGTCAAAAATTCACATAAAACTTTTTAAAACAGCCTTATTGATAATTTACCCATTACACAATTCACCCATCAATATTTTTAATTTCTCTAAATTTATTGGTATATAATATTATACTGCTTATATTAGTTTCAGGTGTACAATATAGTGATTTGACATTTCTATACGATGTTAATTCTAGTAATCATCTGTCACTGACTGCTAAGTTGACATGGAAGACGTTTTTATTTTCAATATATTTTGTGCTTATCTGCATCACAATATCATACTTCTTGAACTATTGCATTGCTGAATCAAGAGTTGTAGGGTTAGAGATTATATAATTGTTAATATAATTGAGGATGGAATAACTGTGGATTACACGTTAGAACTGGATCACCTGGTAACTATTTCCAACAAGTGCTGTTTAAATCTAGCTGATAAGTCATTCCTCTAAAATAAGTTGTTACAGCATTGAAAGATTTATGAATCTAGAAAATAGCTTTCCTGACCCTGTTTAACAATAGGTTATTAGATTGATGACTTCACTGATGATTAGTGATAGATATGTTCTTATTGATTTTGGTACTTATATGTCCAGATTGTTGTTATGTCATTACTTTGGAGCCCTGGGGTGGGGTGGAGTGAGATGTAGTGAATGAGGGTCACTAATGGTAGAGAGAAGCCTCTGTCACCTAAAGGTACAAGTTATGCGCAAGCACTGACCCACAGCTGCAGTGAGGAAAAATTGTAATGAGATCGCATAGCAAACACTCAGAATAAATTATTGTTAGCTAGAAGTTCATGAACAAATTGTAAGAGTACACATATGCTTGCTAGTAGTTATAGCCCCAGTAAAAGTTTTCAAAAGCATACTCTACCCCCGTTGCTCCTCATCCCCACCAAATTTTTGTCTGAAGATAGAGAAAATGTAATTTGCCACGGGGAAGATAAAAGAAGCATCTAAAGGGAGCCCCAGCATTGCCCAAACTCCTGATTCTCTTTAATCTGCTTTTATGTTTAGTTGTCAAATAAATCATGTTTTGAAGAGAACTTTGCAATTGAGAAAATGTCCTATAACATTGTCTAAGAAATCTTTCCTTGCCCCAAAGTCATGAAGAAATGGTATTGCTTTTATCATTTTATTTCCCAGTTGTCTTTGGCTAATATGTAGAACACAATTGATTTTTTGATTGCCCTTGATCCTGTGAACTTGCTAAATGTTCTTATTCTAGAAACTTTAACAATAGGCTCCTTACTTAGGATTTTCTCGACATAATCATGTAGTCATATCATCTGCAAATTAAATTGTATTAATTCCTCCTTCCAAAAATGTTTTATCTTTTTCTTAACTGTACTAGCTAGGATCCGCTATACCTTATTGAATAGAAATAGCAAAATCAGACATCCTTTTCTTGACCGTGATCTTAGGGCACGGTCTCCCTCTTCTTGAGTATGATCAAAGTTTCTCAACGTTGGCTCCCCTGAAATTTGAAACAAGATAATTCTTTGTTGTGGAAGTTGCCCTGTACATTGTAGCATGTTTAGCAGCATCCCTGCCTTCTCGCCCACTCGAAGCTAATAGCATCCTCCGATGGCAAACATGTCTCCAGACATTGCTGATAATTAAATGTCTTCAGACATTGCCAAATATCACCTGGGGGACAAAATCACCCCAGGTGAGAACCGCAGTTAGGAAGAAAATTTTCAATATATCACCATTAAGCATGATATTAACCAAAAAAGTTCTTTCTTCAAAATTATAATATGGAAAATTTCAAGCATAGAGAGTATTACATTACATACCCACCACCATTCTACCATAAATATTTTACTGTGTTTCATCTGGTGCATATTTAACTACTTATCAATCCTTTGATCCATTAATCAATCTTATTTTTAAACAAATTTAAAATAGACACCAGTACACTTTCTCTGAAATACTTCAGTATGCATATCATTACTTACATTTAAATATTTATATATTACTTGTAGATTTTTTCTTTTGTGGTAATATTCACATATAATGAAATGCAGAAATCTTGAACATTCACTGAGTTTTGACAAATGCATGCATCTGTGTAACCCAAACCCTTATCAAAATATACAATATTGTGCCATAGAAATATAATGCAAGCCACACATATAATTCAGAATTTTCTAGTAGCCACATTAAAAATAAAAACTGCTGCAATTTATTTTACTAATATATTAACTCAATTATCTAAAATATTATACTTTAAAATGTAATAGTAAAATATCACTGAGATATTTTACATTTTTTCATTGTATTAATTCTTCAAAATCCATTGTGTAATTTACACTTAGAACACATCTCACTTCATAGTAGTCACATTTAAGTGTTCAATTGTCCAGTGGTCCTGTGTTGGACAGCACAGACGTGGAACATTTCCATTCCCAGAAAGGGCCCTCATGCCACTTCCAGTCAATCTCCAGCCACATCCCTTAGAGACAACAATTGTTCTGGGTACCCCCCGACCTCCGTCATTGTTTAGCTTTGCCTGTCCTAGCATTTTATGTAAATGGAATTGTACAGTACTTAGTCTTTTGCGTCTGGCTTCTTTCACTCAGCCTCTCGTTTCTGAGATTCGTTCATATTGTTATCTATAACAGTTTATTCCTTTTGCTGAGTAATGTTGCATTGTGGAAATGTACCACAGTTTACCTATTTTCCCATTGATTGATGCCTGTGTTCTCAGTTTTTGGATATTATAAAGAAAGCTGCTATGAACATCCTTTTACAAGTGTTTCTTCGGGACATGTATTTCCTTTGGGGTAAATATCTAGAGTTGCAGTGTCATAGGGTAGTTGTATTGTTAGTTTGATAAAAAAAAAAACTGCTAGACCTTTTTCCAAAGTGGCTTTTCCCATTTTATGCTCCTATTGACAAGAGTTTTGATTCATTCGTACTCAAAATCACTCTTTAATTTTAACCATTCTAGCTGGTATCTCATAGCGTTATCTCACAGTGGTTTTAATTTGTATTTCCCTAATGGCACATGATATCAATAAACATGTTTGCATGGGCTTATTGGCCATTTGTATATCTTCTTTTGTGAAGTGTTTGTTCAAGTCTTATGCCGATTTTAAAAATTGGATTGTCTTCTTATGAATTCTTTATATATCTCAAATATCAGTCTTTTGTCCAGCGTATGCTTTTACAAATATATTTTTTTCCTGATTTATGGTTTGCTTATTTGATTTAATGGTTTCTTCGGATATGCAGTTTTAAATTTTGTCGAAGTCTAATTTACCAACTTTTTTCTTTTATAAGTATCACTTTCTAAGAAATCTTTGTCTATCCCCAAGTCAGAAAGCTATTATCCTTTGTTTTCTGAAGGCCTCATTGTTTTAGGTTTCATAATTAACTTTCTGACCTATTTTGGATGAATTTTTGTGTATCCTGTGAGGGGGTCAATTTTTTGTTTTTCCATATGGATATCCAATTGCTCTAGTTCCATCTGTTGAGTGTCCTTTCTTCATAAGGTCACTTTGGCACCCGTGTTGAAAATCAGAGGACCATATAAGTGGGCTGGCTCTATTTTGTTATGTGCTCTATTTTGTTTCATTAATGTAGGTGCTGATCTTTATTCTGTATCATGTTGTCTTAATAGCTGCAGCCTTATAGTAAGTCTTGAAATCATTTATTCTAAATACATTTTTTTTATAAGATTACTTTGGATATTCTAGATCTATTACACTTCCATATAAATTTTATAATTAGTTTTGTCAATTTCTACCTAAAAATCCTACTGGTATTATGACTGGGATCGCACTGAATTTGTAGATCTGTTTGTGGAGAACTGACATCTTGCCAATTCTCTTCCATCCATCTCTTCCTATCCAGAAATGTGTGTGTGTGTGTGTGTGTGTGTGTGTGTGTGTGTGTGTGTGTGTGTGTGTGAGTATATATGTATATAAACATATACACACATATATACACACACACATACATGCATTTATTTAGCTATTCTTTAATTTCTACTAAAAACATTTTCATAGTTTCTAACATGTATATCTTACTTAAACTTTGTTAAAGGTATTCATAAGTATTTTATGTTTCTTGATGCTATAGTAGATGAAAGTTAAAATTTATTTTCCAATTGTTTGATAATAAAAATATAATTGATTTTTATATAATAATCTTATAAGCCATGACCTTTCTTGCTAAATTATCTTATTAGTTTTAATAACCATACCTTAGGCTTTTCTACATCAATAATATCATTTAAAATAGACTGTTTTATTCTTTTCTAATCTTTATGTTTTGTCTTTATCTTGCCTTTTGCATGGATATATAGTAAAATGTTGACTTTTCTAAAAATTCATGAATATGTATTAAATTTTGTCAAGTGTCTATTCTATATCTATTGAAGAAAAGATTTTTTAAAGCGTGTATTAAAAACCTGTTCAGACAAAGCACTAACTCAAACAAATTTAGAAAACAGTTTTTGCTGATTCAATCTATCCCCTACCCACAACCATCCATCATGATTGTAGTGCCATGTGACTTCTGTACAAGACCACCATTTGGCTAGTAAGTGACAGAGACTGAGCTCAGAAACAAATCTGCTAACTTTAAAGCTCCTGTTCTTTCATCAGCACCATCCGTGGTGCCCTCAGAGTAGTTAAATATGAGAAATCTCATGACAATGCTTTTAATTTTTTTACTTTTATTTTAATGGATAAAATGCAACATACATATATTTAACAATGAAAACTGATGGGACAAAAGAACCATAACTTTTGAGATGGGAGACAACATAAAACATTGGCATTCCTTGTGACATTATATGATTTTACAACAGAATCACAGTTTTAGAAAATAACTGAAAAATGCCTGAAGGAAATTATTTTTAAACTAAGGTGTGTGTGTCTGTATGTGTGTGTAAAACTGTTGAATATGCCTATCAGAAACTAAGAACTATTCAATCCCATAATATATATTTTTTTCAGGCATGTAATAATATAATTGTGGAAAACAGATGAAATATGCTTGACACAAAACAGAGACATATTTATCTCATCTTACTTTTCAGTCAAGTGCAATAGGGAAAAAGCGGTTGAAAAATGCCTGCAAGAGATGAATATTAATTCTTACCCTTGAAAACCTGTATCTCAACATGGTTAAATACACAAAACAATGACTAAAGGACACAAATTTTATCAGCGTATACCACAGATCACACAGAGTATCTTTGGCTTTAAAGCATTTGCTAAAAATATTTTACATCATTAAATGTATATTATTAAATGTACATTGAAAGCTAACTGAAGTGACAATAAGACTCAGGGATGGTTTGTAACAAAAATTGTTAAAGTCCATTAATTTTTTTCCAAGAAAGGCAAGTGAGGTAGTTTATACTGTGTATACATTGTAAAGAAATTAATACTCCAGTTTGTTCGAAGATCATTCACTAGAAGACTATATTCCCAAGTGAGCTGCTTAACAAAAGGATCCTCTTTTGCAGAATGATGGAAAAAATGCGTCAGTTGTAGGGTGTTTTTTTTTTTTTTAAATGAATACATGTTTCTAAAATGTTAATTTTCCTAATACCTTCCTGGACATTATTTCTCTAACTGTACATCAAGAACTCTTGGGATGAAATGGGTGGGAAGCTATTAAGAATAGAATTTAGAAGCCCAGTATCTGACTCTGTTTTTGTTTGCAAATATACTATTCATTTTTACAGATTATTGTAACTAATTTAAAATAATTTGATAAGGCAAAGATAGTTTTTTTTTTTTTAATATTTAGGTGACAGGCATTTTTGAAATTTAATTGTAGGGGTTTGTTTATTCTTTTAGCATAAAATTAGTAAAAAGAACCTCTACTCCTCTTTACCCAATCAGTTAGTTTACCTTATGACTAAGAATAAAAGTTATCATTGAATAATGATATTGGTACTGAGAAGGCCTTCCATATTATACAGTTATTTGAAAGTTGTCACATATCCTTGAATACATTAAAGTGATTAAAGTTACTGACTCAGCTAAGTTTTGACATCTGAAAACACACAAAAGTAGATAAGAAATTCAGAAACTTATTGTTTTTACCTGTCATCTTTTAGTCATTTATTTAAAACTGATGATGAGTGAAATAAATCTCGAAACCTTTAGAACTTATATATAGGTTCTAATGGGTTTTCAGTCAAAAGTAGTGAAAATTCCCAAAAGAAAAATTAAATGAATAGGTCTGTGAATTTTCTATATAAACACACAGAATTTATTTTAAATGACAGGAAATACAATGAGATAAATCAATCATAGTTTTCAAATGTACATAGAAGTGTAAGGTAGCTAATTTGAAGAATTTCTTCCACGTGTGTAAGCATAGATTATTGCCATCTTATGTCTTGTAACTTAGCAACTACATAAAGTGAAATGTTTGCTCCTGTTGTTTGAATTGCAAAAACAATAACAGCATTTTTTTAGACTCTTGAAATTATGTAAACTCACATGCCATCAATTAGCCAAATATTGAAAATCGATGAAATATAAGTATAAACCTACAGAAAATGTTTATTTTCTGATGCGTTTTCAGAAAAAGAAAATAAAAATCCTCAAATAAATAAAATGCATGGATATTCTGAGTTTTCTCTAAAAATATTAAAAAATCCTAATAGCCAGAAATAGAATTATCTACATGTTGAATATAAGTAATGTTTTTATAGACAAAAAGTCAATGCAGCATATGAAAATTTTCTTCTACATATGGGCTTATTAAATGATCTCATTATGTTGAGACTTTGTAGGAGATAAAATGTTTTCTGAATTTGTAAGCAACTTTGTCTATTGTTTGAACTGCGACAGTCATTTGAGTATTAAATCTCATTAAAACTGATATAAATTCATCGAAATCTAAATCTGTGGATTCTAACTCAAAGCACATGTGTGGGATAAATGAGACCTCTGTCTCATTTCTAGCTAACCCTAAAAGGTCTGTATCTGCACTCAAGATGAAAGGCAGAGCCGTCTGACCTCTGAGCACATTTTAGATTTGTCTCAATTAGAATTGTGGGTGACTGTGTTCTCACCAATTGCAGTTCTGGAAAATGGTTCCACAGGATCTTGACAGCAAGACAGTTTTCTGTTTACCAAATAAGCATCTGATTTTAAAGCCCAATGGTAATCCAAGTGCTTACCTACGTCTATGATTGATTAACAGAATGAAATCTGCTTTTACAGCATATAAAATCTGAATGTAACAGTATTTTTCAGTACTCTTGGATGAAGAGCAGTTGGATAAAGGCAGTTCTGTACTTTTTCAATTGGGGCTGCAGAAGTGACTATCTACAGTTGTAAAATATAAAAAATGCTATGTTTGATCGGGAAAGGAAATCAGTGCCTGGCACATGGAAAGCTATTCATTGAGTACCATAATCATGAGAAAAATAGAGGTTCTGTGACTTCTGACTACAGGTTATGAAAGCCTAAGAACACCCTTTGTCAAATTAAGCTTCACTAAGGAGACCTGGGCTCATAAAGAAAGAAGCTTTGAAAATATCAATTTTCAATAGTCCAGAAAAAGGAAACGTTCATTTGCACCAGAATGCCGATAGTCACGATGCAGTATAACATACATACTGATACAGTGTTCTTTAAACAGAAGTTCCTCCTCCTCCAGTTCAGGAGCAAGTCAGAGCATAAATACTGTATGTGTAGCTTTAGAAACTGATTCCTTTTGGAAAGTAGGTGTGAATCATTTTGCAGAGCAGAAATTACTGATATTTCTGGCATTCTTGCTAGAAAAGGTCAATATATGTGTATAACATAAGTATAAAAGTCTTTTTCCACACCTTGTTTGGTAGTATTTGCTACATAAAGAAGTGTTTCTTATCCCCAGGTATAGAACCAAGTTTATTTCTGCTGTGAGTCTCAATACTAGAAATGATTAGAGTTCCTATTCTAGATTGGCCTTTCTTCAGGAAAGATCACAACCTCTTTCTTTCTTCACTCTTGTCAAGGAACCACCATGAGAAAGCTTCAGCTCAAACAGTTAATCAGCTCCTCTTTTAGTGTTCATGTTGACAATGCTGAGAGATACCACTTAGGCCAAGAAATGCCAAGAGGGTTATAGGAACAAAAATGTCAAAAGCAGTCTTTTTTTCCCTCCCTACTTAATGTAGAATTTTCTTGGCATATAATATGAAATAGCTGCCGTCTTGGAGGATATTTCAAAAGCTTGATTGGGGTTTAATCACCCATTCTGCTTGAGGATTTACATGATATACATCCAATATATAAGCATCTGGATCCAAGCAATGCTGTCCTAAAAGAAAGAGAAAATTAGAGAATGTTTCTAAGAGTGAACACTTTTGTGTGTGAGTGTGCATATATGTGTAAGGTTCATATAAGGCATATATAGCTCTCTAAGCCAAAAGTAAGTATAGTAAGTACTCTCATTATTTATAGAGTTGAGTACTTTAGTTATGGAATACTTCCATATCTTTACTGATCATTTGACAAGCAATTAACAAATATATAGAGAGATAGAAATTTAGATGGTGAAGATCATAGTGCACTTACACAAATCTAGATGGTACAGACTACTAGTATGAATGTGTACTATACTTTTATGTGACTGGCAGCACAGTAGGTCTGTTTACACCAGCATCACCACAAACACATGAGTAATGTTTTGCACTATGACATCACAACGGTTATGCTGTCACCGGGGTGACAGGAATTCTTCCGCTCCATTATAATTTTATGGAGCCACCATCATACATGCAGTCCATTGTTGACCAAAGCATGACTGCAGATACATTTTAAAGTTTCTTAATGAAGCCTGCCTGCCTTCCTTCCCTCCTTCCTTCCTTCCTTTGTTTCTTTCTGACTGTTAAGTCCTTCAAATAAGTCCCATGTGAAACTGTGGAAAAAACAGGCATACCAACAATAGGCAAATTGTTCCCTAAACTCACTACATCCACTAGGAAAATAAAGCAAGAACTTGTATAAACTGATAATTTATATTATAATATATGTCCACTAATGGTTTTACCGATATTAACTTGACCAAGACTAGAGAAGATTAAAGGCAAGTTCATTTTAGTTTCTTTATATTGGACACAATGCCCATAGGCAGAAGATGTGGAAATAACACAAAGATATCATTCCGTGTGGCAAATACACTTGAAAATCTGTATATACAGTGTGTTTGAAATGTATATTAAAGTCTCAAACAAAACTACCAAGATCTGACTGCTTGCTTGATTCATTCATTTAACAAATATTTATTGAGAGTTATACAGTTATACCTCACAGGAACTATTCTAGGGGCTGGGGCTACAGCAATGCATCCGACAGTCAAAAATACTTGCCTTCAGGGTGCTTACATTCTGAAAGTGATAAAGGCAACTAGCAAATAAACGAGTGTGATGTAAAGCAAGTCTGATGGTGACAAGAACTTCAGAGAATAAAGCAGGGAAGGAGCACAGAGAGGCTATGATCCAGAAAAGTCTCATTTGAGAAAGTGATCTAGCGGCAAAGACCTGAATGGGGCAAGGGAGTGAGAAATGAACAATCTAAAGGAGAACATTCTGGGCAAAAGTCAAACAAATGTGAAGGTCCCAAGGCAGAATGTGCCTGGTGACTGAATATACAAGGTTGGTGTCTGAGGGAGAGTCTGGATATAAATGTGAGAGGCATCTGCATACAGGTATATTCAAAGCAATGAGATGAATTGAGTTCACCAAGGAAGTTAAGTGTAGATAGTGAAGAGTTTGAAGAACTGAGCCCTACAACTCTTCAAGCTTAAGAGGCTGAGAAGATGAGAAGTAACAGGCAAAGGAGACTCAAGGTGTAGCCCGTGAAGTGGGAGGAAAGCCAGAAGCTTAGGTTGTCCTTGATACCAGGTGAAGGAAGTGTTTTTCAAAGAAGGGAAAGATCAACTTAGGCAGTTATAAAAAGAGACTGAACTGTTGGATTTCACAACGTAAGATTTGTCTGGTGACCTAGACAAGAGTGCAGTTTTGATGAAGAGCTGAAGGGTAAAGCTTGACTGGAGTGGTTTCAAGAGAGAAGAGAAGAAAAGAAAGAAACTAGAGGGTAGACAACTGATTCAAGGAGTTTTTGCTGTAAAGCAGAACAGAAATGGGAGTTGACTTGAAGGGAGTCAAGAGAGAATTTTGTAAAGATGAGAGAAATTACCAAAATTATGCAGATAGAAATGAAGCAGTTGGAGGGGGAAGCTGATGATATGAGAGAAAATGGGGGAATGACTGCATCGATGTCTTAACTAGTCAGGAGGGGACAGGAAGTGAGGCATGAGTGGAGGTGCTGCTCTTAAACAGGAAAACATTTTTCATTTGGACTGTGAGCAGAGCAAGCAGAAGATAAGCACACTTGGAAGCAAGTTGAGGGAATTTTCTGGAAGCAAGTTGAGAGAATTTTCTTTTGATTCCTCCTCACTGACCAGCTTCAGGGAAATAGGAAGAATGAACTTGAGTTGAGAGTGAAAATGGAAAGTTAAACAAAAAGGGTGTCACAATTCTGAAAGTTCCATGATGTTCTTTCTTTGTTCTGCATTAACCTCCAAAAATTCTGGGTCACATTTAAAAGACCCAAAAGTCTATTCCATATCAACTAAAATTTTGAAAATATTTTAGGAAAGTCGTACTGTTCTTATATGGTATTTTAAAACCCCAGAAACTTACTGATTTTGAATTTATATCTAAGAAACTTGTAAAATATACTTTTACAATAACAGCATCATATCTCTTTTAGAGTAATCAGAGAATTGAGGAGTAAAAACTTTTAAAGAATCCTTACCTATATTTCCTCCAATTTCATATAACCTTTGGTTCTGAATTTTAATGCATTCCGATGAACCATGACTGAAAAAAGGAGAAAGCAATGTGATTTTAACCTCTTTCATAATCTCAGGTAAATCTGTAGATTAAATAAACATGGCACCAAACAATTCATTCTGCCTTGAGTGAAATACACTCCACAAATCATTATTATGACTAAAGTTGTGATAAAAAACATTTTTTGTATATTTGACATAGACAAGCATCTGAGAATAGGACTATTTCACACCAAGATGCTCTGGTGCTCCACAGCAGCCCAGAGCCCATTCTATCCACAGCTGTCAATTCCATTTGAGAAAGGTTAACTCTTACTGACGTATCAAGGTTGGCCAAGGAGGAGCTGGTTGTCTAATATTGCCTTTTCACTGGTCACACTACTCTTAGTTCAAAAGAAGTCGGGTTTCATTTCCGTTTTTGCCAAAAATTGAATGGGATTCTCTCCTCAGCCCATGTCACATTTCTAAGCTTGCCTAATGCTTTGTTACCCATCTAACATTGATTTGGTTGCATGTCTCTGTCCGACAATAAAAGCAAGTCAGAGAAAATAATCGCCCAATTTAATTTTTCTACCCCAGACTAGAATGCTGGAGTAGAAGAGTCTGGAAAAGCTATTGCTGATCTCTATCCCACTTCAAGAATGACTTTCAGTTGGTTACTTCAAAAAGATTTGTCCTCACTACTCTCTAATGTGAGGAAGGGTATGTGCCTTCTTGTTCAATTAAATTTTTGAGATAACTGTAAATTTGCACATAGTTGTTAGAATATACAGATAGATCCTGTGTACCCTTTACCCAGTTTCCTCTAATAGTAAAATCTTGAAAGACTCTAGTGCAGTATCATGACCAGAATGCTGGTAATGATTCAGTCAAGATACAGAACATTTCCATCAACACAAGATCCCCAGTTTCCCTTTTATAGCCACAGCCACCCCCTTCTCCCTGTCCCTATCCCTTTCTCTACCACCATCTTTTACCCTCTAGTCCATCTTTCTATAAATTTGGCATTTCAAAATGTTATGTAAATGGAACTATTTTATACTGGATTTTTTTTTTTTCAATCAGCATAAATCCCTGGAGATTCACCCAAGTTATTGCATTTTTATTGCTGAATAGTATACCCTGGTATGGATGTACCATAGTTTCTTTAGTCATTACCTGTTGAAGAACATCTGGGTTTTTTTCCCCAGTTTTTGATTATTATAAATAAAGCTACTATATACATGTATGTACAGCTTTTTGTGTGAACATAGTCTTAATTTCTTTGGGATAAATGCCCAGGAGTATGAATGCTGGGTTCGCATGGAATTGCATATTTAGTTTTATAAGAAACTGTCAAACTTGAGTTCTGGTCAGATAGTGGAGTAAATGCTGTGCTTGCCTCGTCTTAAAGCCACATCAAAAATACAACTAAACTACAGAATAGCCATCCATTGGGAGTTGCTCTATGTCTAGATGAACAGAAGTCCTACAGTTGGGGACACACAGAAGAGGCCACCTCATGACTGGTAGGAGGGGCAGAAATGTGAGACAGGCTGGTCCCATACCTGCCTGTGGTGGTTGAAAATCAGGAGAAATATCTCAGTTGTGGAGGTTCCCCAGAAAAGCAGGGGTCCCAGACCCACATTAGGCTTCCCAGCCCAGTGATCCAGTGCTGAGAAGAGAAGTTCCCACATATTCTAGCTGTGAAAATCAGTGGAGGGTGTGGCTGAGTGAGAGGGACGGTTTCCTCTTAAAGGGCCCGTGCGTGGACTTAGTTGGTGATAGACTCGCTCATACTGGGCTCCAGCTCTTGGGCAGCAGTTCAAAAAAAGCCAGGGAGGAATGGGAAGGAACTGAGTTGTCTGGCTTCAGGGTGAGGGCTAGAGGGGGGAGCTTTCTCCTGGATAGAAATGCTGGCAGAGGGCATTGCTCCTTTAGTGAGCTCTCTCCCACCAGGCTTGCAGACTCAGGCGGGTACCATATCTGAGTCTCCATCAACCCGGCTAACACTAGTTGCCTTGCCCTGTCCCTGAGACCCCGCCCCTCCCCACTTGTAGGACCACCCAAGCCACTTCCAGTGTATTTTCCACACAAACCATCTGTCCTGGCTCATGCTGTGGACTTACCTAAAATCTCTCAAAGGTTCACAAAACCTAAACAAGCAGCACCTGGCCTAGGTATGCCCCATACCTCTTGCTGACCAACCCCAAGACTGGCGCTAGTGGCAGCCAGCCTCCGTTTGCGGCCTGGCATCTTGTGGAACTTCCAAGGCCAGCATGGGTGGCAGCCACCTGCGGAATGCTTGGTGGCTCATGCCAGGTGGCGCCAAGAAAGGCATGGCCTGCAGCTGAGCTTGGCCTGCAGCACCTGCAGCAGGGCCACTCCCTGGAGGCCCTGGCCTGCATACCTGGTAGCCAGCTTCGGTCTGAGCCGCAATACCACCCAGGGTCACATCTGAGGACAACACACTCAAAGGGCAAACAAGGCAGGCACCAGAGCCTCCCTAAAGTGAATCCTGCTCTATAGGGTCAGCCCCTGCACAAGAGTTCCTCCACTGGTCACAGCCAGTCCTCACAACATATTAGTTTCAGGGTCAATCCCTCCCACTGATAAGCAAACAGCAAGGCTCAGCTACAACAGGAGGGCACACACAACTCATATAAGGACATACCTAGAACACCTGGCTCAGGTGACCACAGAAGACTGTGCCACTGGGACCCCATAGCATAACTACTACATAAGGCCACTCTACTAAGACCAGGAGACATAGTAGCCCTACCTAATACACAGAAACAAGCACATGAAGGCAGACAAAATGGGAAGACACACATGTTCTAAATGACAGAACAGAACAAAGCTCCAGAAAAAGAAATAAACAAAATGGAGATAAGCAATCTACCAGATACAGAATTCAAAATACTTGTTATAAGGATGCTCAGTGAACTCAGAGGAAGAGTACATGAACTCAGTGAGAAATTTAACACGGAGATAGAGAACATAAAAGTAGAAATAGAAAACATAAAAAAGAACCAGTAAGAAATGAAGAATACAATAAATGAAATGAAGAATATCTTAGGAGGAATTAACAATAGATTATATGAAGCAGAGGACTGAATCAGTGATTTAGAAGATAAGGTAGCAGAAAACACCAAATCAGAATAGCAACAAGAAAAAGAATCCAAAAAAGTGAGGTTAGTTTAAGGGGCCTTTAGGACAATATCAAGTGTATCAATATTTGCCTAAAAAGGGTACCAGAAGGAGAAGAGAGAGAGCAAGGAACTGAAAACCTTATTCAAACATTATTTGAAGAAATAATGACTAAAAACTTCCCTAACCTGGCGAAGGAGATAGATAGACATACAAGCCCAGAAAGCACAGAGAGTCCCAAACAAGATGAACCTAAAGAGGCCCACATCAAGACACAAAATTAAAATGCCAAAGATTAAAGATTTTCTCTTAAAAGCAGCAAGAGTAAAGAAGTTAACTACATACAAGGAAGTTCCCATAAGACTGTCAGCTGATTTCTCAACAGAAACTTTGCAGGCCAGAAGAGATTGGTAGGAAATATTCAAAGTGATGAAAAGTAAGGACCTATAACCAAGATTACTCTATCCAGCAAAGCTATCATTTAGAATCAAAGGGACAGATAAAGAGTTTCTCAGAAAATAAAAACCTAAAGGAATTCATCATCAAGCCAGTATTACAGGAAACTGTCAGAGGGGACTTCTTTAAGAAGAAGAAACAAGAAAAAAGATTTAAAATATGAAAAATAAAATGGCAATAACTACATATCTAGCAACAATTACTTTAAATGTAAATGGAGTAAATGCTGCAATCAAAAGATAGGGAAGCTGAATGGAGAAGAAAACAAGACCCTTACATATGCTGCCTACAAGAGACTCACTTCAGATTAAAAGACACACACAGACTGAAAGTTAAAGGGATGAAAAAAGATGTTTCATGAAAATGGAAACATATAAAAACAAACAAACAAACAAACAAAAAACGTTGGGTAGCAATACTTATACCAGACAAAACAGACTTTAAAACAAAGGCTATAACAAAAGACAAAGTAGAACCCTGTTATCTCAATTTTGGATTTTTATCTGAAGAAACCCAAAACACTGCTTTGAAGAGATATGTGAATCTATATGTTCATTGCAGCATGATTTACAGTAGCCAAGATATGAAGGCATCCTGGGTGTCTATCAAAGAATGAATGGATAAAGAAGAGGTAGTATATATATAATGGAATATCACTCAGTCATAAAAAAGAATGAAATCTTGCCATCCGCAACAACATGGACCTAGAGGGTATTGTGCTGAGTGGAGTAAGTCAGGCAGAGAAAGATAAATGTCATGTGTGGAATCTAGAGAACAAGATAAACAATAGAAACAAACTTATAGATATGGAGAGCATTTTGATGGTAGTCAGATTAGAGGTGGGGGAATGAGTGAAGTGGGGAGGGGATTAAGAAGTACAAATTGGCAGTTACAAAGTAGTCTTGGGTATATAGAGTATAGCATGGAGAACATTGCCAGTGGTATTGTAATAACAATAACATACAGTGGTAGTGTATGGTGTCAGATGGGTACTGGATTTATCAGGGTTTTGGTTATTAATCACTTCATAAGTTATATAAATGTTTAATCACTGTGTTATACACCTTAAACTAATATAATATTGTATATCAACTATAATTGAAAAAAATGTAAAAATTAAAAAAAAAGAAACTGTCAAACTGTTTTACAGTGACTTATACCATTTTTACATTCCCATCAGCTTCTCCACATCTTTGCCAGTATTTGGTGTTATCACTATTTTTTTATTTTAGCCATTCTCATAGGTATTTGATGATTAAAGATACTGAACACTTTTTTATGTGCATATTAATCATGTGTATATCAATCTTTGGTGAAATGTTTGTTCGTGTCATTTGCCTATTTTCAAATTAGATTTTTTTTTAATGTTGAGTTTTGAGTATTCTTTACATATTCTAGATACTAGTCCTTTGCTGGATATGTGGTTTGCAAATATTTTCTTCAAGTCTTTAGCTTGTCTTTTAATCCTTTTCACAGGGCCTTTCAGTGTATAAATTTTTAATTTGGATGAAGTCTAATTTATAAATTTTTATCTCTGATGGATCATATTTTTGATGTTAAGTCTAAGAACTCTTCATTAACCTTATATCACAAAGGTTTTGTCCTATGTAATTTTCTAAAAGTTTTATGTTTTATATTTAATTCTGTGATCCATTTGGGTTAATGGTTGAATAAGATGTGAGGTTTAGACTGAGTTATTTATTTTATTTTATTTTTTTGGCTCCTGGACGTCCAAAATTTTCTTTCTACAAAGGTCTACATGAGAGTACAGAGACAACTTTGTAACACATGTAACACATTAGAAATCTATTAGATGCCCAAATCCCTCGAATGGAATTTGAAGTCTATTACCGGGTAGTGGTAACTATTTACAGTGTTTTTAGGAGTTAGGGCCAGCTGCAGAGATGAATAAGTGTTTGGGGCTCCTTTTGGTCTCTGTCTACTCTGCTTTTCTTTTCTAAGAAAGTTTTATATATATAAACCATAATAAGAGATCACCTTACAGTTGTTAGAATGGCTATTATAAAAAAGACAAGAAATAACAAGTGTTAGCAATGCTGTGGAGAAAAGAGAACCCTTGTGTACTGTTGATGGGAATATAAATTGGTACAGTCACAATGTAAAACAGTTACAGAGATGCCTCGAAAAATTTAAAATAGAGCTACCATATGATTCAGCAATTCTACTTCTGGTTATTTATCCAAAGGAAACGCAAACACTTACTCAAAAGGATATATATACTCCCATGTTTATTTCAGCATTATTTACAATACCCAAGATGTGGAAACAACCAAAGTGCCCATTGATGGATGAACGGATAAAGAAAATGTGATTAAAAAATATATATGTATATTACTCAGCCATCAAAAATGACATCTTGCCATTTGCAACAACATGAATGAATGCTGAGGGCATTATGCTAAGTGAAATAAGTCGTACAGAGAAAGCCAAATACCATATGATCTCATTTATATATGGAATCTAAGAACCCAAAAAACCATAAAACAACAACAAAAAAACAAAAAACCAATCTCAGAGATACATAGAAAAGATTGGCGGTTTCCAGAGTAGAAGGGGTAAGGTTGAGTGAAATGGGTGAAGAAGGTCAAAAAGTAGAAACTTCCACTTATAATATAAATAAGTCATGTAGGTGTAATGTACGGCATGGTGACTATAGTTAATAATACTGTATTGCATATTTGAAAGTTGCTAAGAGAGTAAATCTTAAAATTTTGTAACTATGTATGGTGATGAATGTTGACTATACTTATTGTGGTGATCATTTTGCAAAATATATGAATATTAAATCATTATGTTGTATACCAGAAAAGAATACAATGTTATATGTCAATTATACCTCAACAAAAAATAATAATTTCACTTCTAGAAATTCCTTTAAAAAAAACTTCTGTTACAGACAATTCTTTGGTCTATTAACTTCTTTTTCCATTTTTGACTCTTCACCTACTGATAAATTCCCCAAAGTAACAGGTTCTAATTTCTCAAAAATACAAAATTTGTAATTCCTGGAAAGTAACTCATCTGATAAAAGTTCACAGTGTTTGTACAGAGTCCTTTATTCACTTTTACTCACCTGTTCTCATATTGAAATTTTGCAAGTATGTCTTTGGCTTTGGTTTGACTATTGAGTTGAATGGCCATGGACACCTTCGAGAGAAGTGGAGCATGGACCCTTATGACTCCCTCCGGCACATCAGACTGCCAATGAGGAAAAATTCAGTACATGTGGTCAAACTAGGATGAACATCAAATCAGTCAAAAATTGCACTTAAAAGACACAAAAACCAGTGGCACTCTGGTTTAGGAAAACATGTAAACACAACCAGCATTTAATCAGTATAAAACACTGCTTTGTTTTTAACAGGAGATTTTATGAAACTTAACTTGGGATTTTACTGTTGCTACATACTAGTTCTTACTATAATGCCTTAAAATCATGAGAAAGGTAAAACTGGGTTATGGCAAAAATCTAATGTTTCTATTACTGCATTTCCTTGAACAATGTCCTAAATAAATCTACTTTAAGCAGAATTCTTATTTCAATATATTTTAAGATCAACCTTCAGAAAAATTTAAGGATCAATGAGAAAATATGACTTTTTCAAATATCCCTTTTCTTTAGTCAGCCCAAACTGGATTCCAGATGGGCACTTGAAACTAGATCCCTCAAGGTGTGCTGATAACACTGTGAAAAGCAGAGCACAGACTGCTATTGGTAAAGAGAGTCTCTGTTTTCACATGACCTGATTGGCTTGGGGACTTTGGAGAGCTCATCTAAATAAAATATTCAAAGAATTTTGCTGTATAATAAATAGAAATTTCTGTTTTATAGATTTGGAAATTTCCTTTGTTTCAAAATTTTGAGTGTTTTAAAGATTAATTATCTAGAAATCAACAGAAATAAATTTGTATTTGTTTTAAGTTCTGGCTACTTCTCAGGTAATCATTTTAAATCTGTATATTCTCAAAGGATGGTATTGTTAATGTAGGTTTATGTAATTGATTCAGTATATACCCTAGAAGGAATATGTTAAGTGTTGAATTTTATCACTCACAAAGATAAGTTGAAAACCTAACCCCCCAATACTTAAGAATATGACCTTATTTGGAAATAGGGTCATTGCAGATATGCAGCTACCAAAGGTAAGGTCATATCAGAGCAGGGTAGGCCCACAATCCAATATGACTAGTGTCCTTATAAGAGGAGAAGAGACAGAGGCACACACACCAGTGAATGCCATTTAAAGATGAAGGCAGAGATTGGAATAATGCACCTATAGGCTAAAGGACATCAAGGATTGCTAGGAATGATGTCAAGAACAAATCCTTCTCTCACATCCCTCAGAAGTAACCAATCAACACCTGATTTTGGACTGTTAGCCTCCAGAACTATGAGAGAGTAAATTTCTATTGTTTTAAGCCATCAAGTTTATAGTACTTTGTTATGGCAGCACTAGGAAACTAATACAAAATACTTTAAAATAAGGTTGGTTCTTATAGTGGTATTCTACTATTACCAGCAAGAACCAGGAGAGCATGGCAGAGAATGTATAAAAGGGATTTAGACTTGGGAGTGGACAGAGTGTCCCTGGTTCACTGCAGCCAAAATTGTACTCCTAAAACACTTTCTTGGTCATCTCATGTCCCTCTCCTTTCTCCTGCCCAGAGCCTCTGTAAGATAAATTTCACACTCCTGACATTATTGAACCTATGTTAATAATAATTACATTTTCTTTATAATTTCCAACAGTATTCGCACTTGTGTACAGATGTTTAACCACACATTTTGACTCATTAGTTGAGTTCCTATGCCATTCCTTTATGTGCCACACTGAATATGTCGAGTTTGAAGGATATAGCATGACCAAAATTATACATGGATATGGTGGATGTAGCCAAAGAAAATTATTTAGGAAGTTAATAATTAGGGAGGAAAGAAATTCTTTGTTTTCTTACCATTCTTCTTGAAGAGGGTGATTTTTGTAGTACCTTTGCTGTCTTGGGGCTTGTAACCTAAATAAAACACATTTAGTTTTTAGGATTTTATGTTGGGAAAAAAAGTACATGCTGCTGATGGAAGTATGAACTGGTATAATGCTTATGGAAAACATTTAAACATATTTACCAAATTATAAAATGTATATGGTACATTTTATACCATATACATTTCCACGTCTATAAATTTAACCTACAAATATAATTCATTTGTGAAAAATGATGTCTAACAAATTTACTCATTGATGCATAAATCTTAATAGCAAAAGACTGGACACAATCTAACTGTTCAACAATTGGGATAACTTAAATAAATTATTATGTATCTATGGACTATCATGCAAAAGAAGCAGATAAGAATGGCTTGTGGACCCATGCAGAATAATTACAATGATTTCATAAATCAGTAAAGCAAGATGCAGGACAATGTTTTATATGTGTTACCATTCATGTAAAAGAGAGGAAGAACATATACTCATATTTGCTTGTATGTGCATAACACCTCTCTGGAAGTATATACACTTGCATGTTCCTGTGCACACATACCATGTCACTGGTGACATTATTTGTCTCTGGGAGGGAAAATCAGAGGTGGCCAATTTTTATTCTTTAGTCTTTCCTACCTTACTACTTGTAACAGTTAATGAACTGTCTACTTCAATCAAAGTTAGGAATTAAAAACATGGTATAGTACAATAAAACTGAATAAAGACTATTTCCTCATCTTTAAGTGTTTGTTTACATGACATAACTTTAAATTCTACTTTGGTTCTATTTACAATTAAAACGGTAAAATAACTAGTATTCATATAGCATTGTACAGTTCACAAAGTGCTTTAAACACACATTATATGAATTGATGCTAATGATAATTCTGTGAATTAGATAACATTACTTTTCCCCTTAATTTATAATAAAGTTGAGGTTCTGAGAAAGACTTTAATTTGCTCAGGCTCATACGGTTAGTAGTTGGCAAAGCATGACCTGACCTCAGTTTCAGCCTCACATATATCATGTTTTGCCATTAAAATTTTCCAGAGCAAAACTGGCAGAGTAAGGACTCCAAAAGGCTGACCCCCTACAAAAGCAATGAATAAACTAGCAAAAACTGTCAGTATCAACTTTTCAGGATTTGGGATGCTAAATCAAAGGTTGCAACCATGGAAGTGCTTAAGTAAGAAAAACAGCTGAATCTTGTTAAGAAAAGAAAGCTTTGTGGCATTTTAACTTACATTTTTCCCATCTCTACTCCTAGCTCAGTGATAGCTTTGAAAATAACAGCCTGCATTTCTGGTACAGATACTGGAGGGAGCAAAGGAGACATCACTCACAAAGAATTCAAATTATTTGTTCTGACCTGTCTGGTGGCTCCCTGGAAGACTGCCTCAAAAGGCTTGCCTTTAGCTTGCCTAACTTGGAACTTAATGCTAAAATGGTATATTGTTTAAAACATATATAGGCAAATATTTAGTCACTGCTGCCTGATTAGTGGAAAAGAGTTGGAGAAAACAGTAGACTAACTAAAAAGCTTTGGAAGCAAGCCTACAGATTGATATCTTTTGAGGAATAAAGGCTTTGAAAAACTCCCACACACTTCTAAGAATCTGGAAGGCCACATGCATGTTCAGGGCTGTGCACATATTCAGGAAAGATCTGAAAAGAATATAAGCTCTCACCTCTGGCTGACCTTCAGACTCTATCCAAGCAGGAAGTGAAGGTGCTCCCTGGCTAAATGTTGAAGATGTGCCCCCAAAAATACACAAAACTTATCTGCAAAGACTTGGAGTTTTTTTGGTCCCCGGGGTTTAAGCAAATCTCTGTTCAAGCAATTGCTAACCACTAAGCTAATGGAACAATGCCTTCAGTAGCCACGCAAAACAAAGAATACAGACTTTACAAAGTTAGTTCAGCAGAAAAGTCACTAAACTAGTAAACAACAGCTACAATAGCAACAATAACAAACCCTGGGGAGAAGGAAAAATTGTATTTCCAAATTTGCCATATTCAAAATGTTCATTCTTTAGTAAAAAATTTATGAATCAGGCAAAAAATGGCAAATAAATATGGCCTATACAAAGGAAAAAAATTAGTTTCAATAGTTTCTGAAGAAACTCCTTAAAAAAACTTAGACATTGAACTTATTAGAAAAAGCCTTCAAATCTGCCATTTTAAATATGTTTATAGAATTAATGGAACCCTTATATACAGAACTAGAAAAACCATGAAAATGATATCTCATCAAATAGAGAATATCAATAAAGATATAAAACCTATAAAAATAAATCAAATAGAAATTCTGGAGCTGAAAAGTCTGACTGAAATGAAAAACCCACTAGAGGGGCTCAACAGCAGATTTAAGGAGGTAGGAGTAAAAAATTAGCAAATATGAAGATAGGTCCATTGAGCTTATCCAGTCTGACAGGAAGAAAAAAAATGAAGAAAAAGAAACAATCTAAGACAAACTATGGGACATCAAGTGCACCTACATATATATATATTTAGAGTAATATTGGCTGAAAGTTCCTCAAATTTGCTAAAAGACATTTATTTACCTATCCAAAACAAACTCCAATCAGGATAGACTCAAGGAAATCCACACTGAAATACATCATAATCAAACTATTGAAAGACAAAGAAAATCTTGAAAGCAGCAAGAGAAAAGCAATTCATCACACACAAGCGAGCCTCGATACGATTAACAGTTGATTTCAACTGAGCCCATGGAAGCCAGAAGACAATGGGATGACATATTTAAAGCGCTAAAAGGAAAAACTGTCAACCAAAATTCTACCTGGCAAAAACGATCCTTGAAAATGGAGAAATTAAGGCATTCCGAGATAAAAGCTGAGAGAGTTTATTGCTAGCAGACTTTCCTTACAAGAAATGCTAAAGAGGGTACTTCAGGCTGAAATGAAAGAACACTATACGGTAACTCCACATGAAGAAATAAAGAATTCTAGTAAAGGTAACTACATAGGTAAATATAAATATTTTTATTTATAACTTCACTTTTTCCCAATCTAATTTAAAAGACAAGTGCATAAAACAATAATTACAAGTCTATATTGATGGGCACACAATTTATAAAGATATAATTTGTGTCAACAATATAAAGCAGGGAAAAAGGTATACAGGTAGAAAGTTTTTATATACTATTAAATTTAATAGTGGTATTAATATAAGTGGTATTAATATGAAGTAGATTTTTTTTTTTTTATAAATTAAGATGTTACTGGTAATACCCAAGGTAACCATTAAGAACATATATTGCAAAAGAAAGAAAAAAAGAATTAAACTTAAAAATACCTATCTTACACAAATGAAGGCATTAAGGAGAAATTGGGGAACACAACCATATAAGACATACAGCAAAAAAAAAAAAAAAGAATTGAAGGAAGAATTAGACAGTTCTACAACAGCTGAAGACTCCAACATCTTACTTTTAATAATGGATAAATAAACTAGACAGAAGATCAGGAAGAATACAGAAGACTTGAACAACACTATTAACCAAGAAGACCTAACGGATCTCTATAGAACATTCCACTCAACAATAGCAACCATTCTTAAGTACACATAAAAATTTGTCCAGGACGGACAATATGTTAGACCTCAAAACAAATCTCAATAAAGTTTATAATACCAAAATAATACAAAGTATCTTCTCTAATCACAATGGGGTGAAGTTACAAATCAGTAATAGAAAATTTGGAAAATTCGTAAATATGTAGAGATTAAACAACATACTACTAAGTAACCAGCGGATATAAAGGGAAATTAGAAAATACTTTGAGGGGAACAAAAATGAAACACAACATACCCAAACTTACAGAATGGAGCAAAAGTAATGTTCAAGGGAAAATTTATAGATGTAAATGCCTACAATTAAAAAAGAAAGATATCAAATTGATAATCTAACCTTTTACCTTAAGCAACTAAAAAATGGCAGACTAAATTCAAAACAAGCATAAAGAAGGAAATAATAAAGGTCAGAGTTTTAGCCAATTGACATATGAAGGATGCTCAAGGTCACTAATTATCAGAGAAATGCAAATTAAAACTACAATGAGATATCACCTCACACCTGTCAGAATGGCTATTATTAATAAATCAAAGACCAATAAGTATTGGCGAGGTTGTGGAGAAAAGGGAACCCTCATACACTGTTGGTGGGATTGCAAATAGCTATAGCCACTATGGAAACAGTCTAGATGTTCTCAAAAAATTACAAATGGATATACCTTTTGACCCAGCAATTACACTTCTGGGTATTTATTCAACGAAAACTAAAACAATAATTCGTAAAGATCAATGCACCCCTATGTTCATGGCAGCACAATAGCCAAGATATGGAAGCAATCTAAACGCCTATCAACAGATGGCTGGATAAAGAAGTTATGGTTCATATATACAATGGAATATTACTCAGCCATTAAAAAAAAAACCGAAATCCTATCATTCACAACAACATGGATGGACCTAGAGGTTATTATGCTGAGTGAAATAAGTCAGACAGAGAAAGATAAACACCACATGATTTCACTTATATGTGGAATCTAAGGAACAAAAAGAACAAGCTAATCAAAAACAGACTCGTAAAGACAGTGGACTACTTGAAACTAGTTAAAAAAAAGAGAGTCACAAATATAGAGGACAATCTGGAATGGGGGGTTGGGAGGCTGGGAGAGGGGTGAAGGTTTGAAGTACAAATCAGTAGTTGACAGACGGTCACGAGAATGGGGAGCATGGCATAGAGAATGCAGTTAGCATTTATGTGATGCCTAGGTGTAGAGCCAGAGGAGATAAAGAGCAATCAGGAGGATTGTTTTATAAACTATATAAGTGTCTAACCAATGTACTGTATATTTGAAACTAAAAATAAAATTAAATTTAAAAAAAGATTAGAGTTATAATAAGAACTAGAGAATAGAAAAACAAGAGAGAAAATTAATGAAACAAAAGTTGGTTCTTCAAAAATATCAACAAAATTGATAAACCTTTAGCTAGCTGACCAAGAC